AGTCTCCTCAGCCTCCTCCTCCTCAACAACCACCACCTCGTCGCCGCGTCTGTGGAGGATTCGGACAGCTTGGGGTCATGATTCCTCATGTTTGATCTCTTCCACCTCATCCTCTTCTGCTGCAGCTGGAGGCACCACTGGGGGGCTCCATGTCCGGACAGCATGTCCAACCATGCCCATGGCAGGGAATGCCGCCTGCTCCTCGAGCACTGTAGCTTTCTCCGCCCTAGCCTCCGGCATGGCATCGGTGACTCCAGCCTTCACTCCCGAAGACCTGGTGGCTTCCGCTATTGCCCCGGGTACCGTCGCCAACCCATCCGCCGTTGACGCCAATCTCTCGTTGACACCAAGTTCATCAGCAGCGACGGTTGACTCCTCCGCCAGCTGCCGAGCACCCGAGGACTCCGGGATGGGAGCCGCCGACATTGCCTCCGCCCTGGGACCAGCCCTCGGCTGCTCGTCAGTTTGGATGGGCGGGGTCAGATCCTCCGCACGCCTTGCGCTGCATCAAACTAGCTTGTCAGTTGCCAAAAGAGATAAGGATACGACAACAAAATAACTCCAAGGCAAGGACTCTTACATGTCGGCCTGCTGGTCCACTTTTCTGAACCAGCATTGCCCACCCGAGCGCCCAGCCGCGGCCTTGGGGTGGAGGTCTCGCGGTCTCCGCCATTGGCCTCTCCTCCACCCGCCGCTCTAGGACCCCCCTCGCCCGCTGCTCGGGGGCTCCGTTCGCCTGCTGCATGGGGACTCCCATCTCCTGCTGCTCGGGGACTACCTCCCCTCCCTTGATTGCCCCTCCACGCGCGTGTCGCGTGGAGGCACTATAGTGCTCGGTGGAGGAGCCACTGGCACTTCGTCGTCATCTGACCACTCGGACATCGTGGCGCTCTGCGTCCAAGTGGTCCAGTCACCGCCAAGCGAGATGTCGCCCGGCTTGAGGGGAGCGGCACCCGCTGTTTTTCTCTTCTTCTAGGCCGGCTCGTCTGCCGCTGCCCTCTTCCCTCGGATTTTCTCTGACACCGGGGATGGACTCTCCGTCCGACCAGTGTCATCGCCTCCGAACTCCGACGAGATGCTGACGGCTCCCTCCTCAGGCTGCGTTGGTGACCGAGCATCTACTGCCCGCGGCCAATCGCCCCTCGGCAAACCTGAGAAGTACACCGCTCTCTCCTGCGAATGGATCTTTGCATAAGTGAATCAGTCCACTACACGACAACGACAAAGGATACAAAACATTAGGAACATACAATTGAGATATTTACCTGAGGAGGTAGATTCTTGCAGTGAAAGGGTCTTGTCTGCCCTAGCAAGTTAAATGAGGCAAGTGGAGCGAATAGCTCCGCGGCCCGCTCCTGCACAACGTCCCTTGACAGCATCTCCGTCCTCTCCCGGATGCCGTCGGCCTCCCCCTTGAACTCAAAGGCTACATGGGCCCTCTCCTTGCAAGGCTGGACGCGGCACACTATGAACCTCGCCACCACCAGTCCATCGTTGGTCTTCGTGCCCTTTATTAAGCCAAGGAGCTCCCTTACCTGCTCCATATCAGCATTGCCTGGCTTCTCCGACTAGTTTTTCTGTCTCTCCGGGATGTGGTCGGCATCGCAGTGGATGGCGGGGCGGCTCTACTTCAGGTAGAACCACCTGGCGTTCCACCCCTTCAGCGACATGTTCAGCGGCACAGTAAGGTACTCGCCCGCCATTCCATCGCGTAGCTGAAGATACACGCCACCGACCACCTTGGAGCCACCGCCGCCCTTCTTCTTCAGCCAGAATAGGTGACGGAAGAGGTTGAAGTGGGGAAGGATTCCAAGATACGCCTCACAGAAATGGATGAAGATAGAGATGTGCAATATGGTGTTTGGGTGGAGGTTGCACAGACTAACTCTCCAGAACTCCAACAAATCCCTCAAGAATGGATGAACAGGAAAACCTAATCCACGCCAAAAGTAGTCCTCAAACACTACAGCTTCGTCGGTATGAGGCATTGGGAATGGCTCACCGAGGGCCGGCCGCCATCCGGCGGTGACGCGATCAGGAAGAACGCCCGCCTCCACCAATCTGTTGAGCTCCGCCTCCCCCGTGCGCGACGGCACCCACTCTTCGTCACGCCTAGCTACGACACTAGCCTTCTTTGGGCTCGCCTTCTTTGGGTTCACAGCTCCCCTCTTCGGTGCCATCTCTCAGATCCGGATTGGGGCTGGCGGTGGAAGTGTGTGCGGCTATGAATCTGGAAGCACGAGGGCTAGGGAGGAAGACGAAATGGCAAAGTGGCAAAGGTGGGGGCGCGGGGTATGGCGGCGCAGTTATAAAGCACTCCCCCACCCTTTCGCATTCGAGGGTTTTTGGGAAACCGCTCCCATGATTGGCGCCTCTCTAAATTCTCCGCAATAGCAAACTAGGCCGTTACCTGGGCTTTCGCGCAACCGTGGCTCGTATTGCCCATTTATCTCCGCAATTTGTTACGGCTCACCGAATATTGGCCGACTTCTCCACCAACCGTTACGGCTTAGTAATTACTACTGTACAGCTATTACTCTAGTATTTTCTCCACGATTTGTTTTCTCCAAGACTTCCTCTTGTGGCTCGGAGACTGCGTCAGCATTACGTCTCGGTTCCTCACCGCATTGGAGATTTTCTTCTGTTGACTGTTGTTTCTGACCCTAACACCATGTGACCACGTCACCTACTATCAGGCTTGGGCACTAAGTGGGCACACTTCACCTTGCGGTGAATGTGCTTTTTCTCATTTCGGGGCTATGCCCGGGGACTGGCTGCCTGCTCGGCTGGTCTTCTACTTTTCTTCTACTTTGGACCCTGGCACCACATGACTACGTCATCTACTGTCAGGCTCGGGGACTAAGTGGGCACACTTCACCTCATGGTGAGTGTGTTTGCTTTATTCTGGAAGACTCCACGCCTCTTGAAGCTAAAGAAGATTATCTCCCTTTCTCATGGTCGGACTTTAAGTGGGCACACTTGGTCCACTGCGAAGAAATTTTTGATTCTAAAATTAAGCTTCTTACACCCTTATGGCAAGCCGTACTTGGGTTATACTGCTCGGCGACGGCTCACGCTGCTCGGCGACGATTCACGCTGCTTGGCGACGGTTCGCGTCGCTCGGCTTTGTTCGCACCTGCTCGGACAAGCTCAAGACGGCGTTGCACAACGGGTACAAGGCGCTCGGAGACTAGCTGTGGGGGGTACGACCCCGGATACCCATGACAGACCACATGGGCTGTGCCCCCAGGGGCGGCCCAGCCCACAAGATGAAGCCTTGCGGGCCACGACGCTGCTCGGCGTCTCCTGCAAGACACCGGAAAGATATCCTGAAGATATTACTTTCCGGTTATCTCTCAGATCTAACCGACTTGTAACCCTGTCCCCCGGACTATATAAGGCGGGCTGGGACCCCCTCCAAGCTCACGTAATATCATACGATAGCCAATACAATCCAACAGACCATAGGAGTAGGGTATTACGTCATACTGATGGCCTGAACCTGTCTAACTCGTGTGTCTCTGTTACCTTATTGTTCTTGATTACACGCCTCTCTGTCGATCAATCTACCTTCGTGGGATACCTCTCGAAGGACTGTCGACGATATTCTGTCGACAGATCAACTCTCACATATTTTATTGATCGTCTACCTTCATCTCTTGTTGTTGCGATACTATGCACGTGAGATTGCCCTCTCGTTCCCTTGCTCCTAACTCATACCTTGTTCATCTGTTGCTGTTGCGTTACAAGATACCAGATGAATTCATCATGGGGATGATGTGGTGGCGGAGAGGAGCTGCTAGTTAGGTACCAGAACCAGTAACGTGATGCGTAAATGTTTCCTTAGATTACAATGATGTTTATTTTGACCAACATAGCAGTGACTTTAGAAAATTGGTTTGTGCTGGGGAAAATGGGGTGGGTTAGTACTCATGAGGACCCACACTAAGACAACAACTCACTCTAGAGTCAGTCGGGACTTTCAATTTCTTGTTACTAAGTGCAATGAGTTCTTTTGGTGGTATAGTTGTTTTCTCACTTCCGGGTGGCAGACTATAACAACAGATAAAGCTATCTTCAGAAGGGCAGAGCCAATCTTTGATGGACCAACTTATGTAATAGTAATTAGATATCATATGACCTAACTGGGAGATTAACACTTGTAAAAGAAGGCACTCTTTATTACTATGCCAATATTACACAAGAGTACACACGGCTATCCTAACATTCAACTCACTCACACTCCTCTACATATCATCCTTCTCACATCTACCTTGCTCTTTGATAGATGGCATAGCAAGGAGGGGTACCTCTTATAGGCCATGGGGGCTCATAAAAAGATGGCATATGCCTCCTTCTACACAATTCTAAGATAAATACATTGTTCTAGTGTTTTCACTGTGTTCACGTCTAGTGGCTTCATGCAAAATATCCTGCTTCATGAGTTGCGTGAAAGGTTCTAAAAAGTTTGCATTGTTATCTCCAATTGTTTATCTACATTTTTTTTATTAAGGCTTATGGGGTTTGATCTTTCGTGTTATGAATGTCTTGATTACAACAACATTTTTAACTTTCTTGTGTATATATAGGACATGGCTTTACAGCCTACACTTCACAAGGAAAAGAAGCTTCCAAGTTCATACTCTGTTTCCGTTGCAAACGTTCTAATTTGCTGCCCCCCCCCTCTTTTTTTTGCACAAACTCACTTGCCAAAGCAATCGCACTACATACAGCATTACGTTGCAATAAAATGATGATCGTGGGGAAAAAAAATTAGTCTGCACTCTGATAGTGTTTGGTTGGTTCAATTGTAACGTAAACGTAAATAAAATTACAGCTTTAAATCGTTTGTGTTTGCGTTACTGTCGGTAGAACCAAACAGCTCCTCTATCCTAACACTATCGGACATCACATGCATGAGGTGATTGGCCATGCACTGTGTCACCTAGATAGAAACAGGGCACGGGGGCACCAAGTTTCCGCCGGCCGTCGTCTCCTTGCTAGTCCCCGTTCGCCCCTCGGCCGTGCGCCGGCGAGGTGTAGTAGAAGGTGACGCCCCTGCCGTTGGCCTCCTGAAGCGGCCTCGCGTTGCTCCTGGTGCCCTGCACAGCGAAAGCCACACAATCTTTCGTCAGCGTATATACCAGTGTACTGCAACTCTATGATGCAATGCAACGGCGGCGGTGGCGGCACCGCCCGGCCGACCGGCGACCGAGGTGGGTGAAGGGTGCTTACGTCGTTGACGGCGTTCCGCAGCAGCCTGACCTGGCGCCGCGTCACCCGCCGTGTCTGCACACAAGTGGCGCCACGTCACACACACGTACGTCGCCACCGTGGACAGTCATTTGACCTCTGTGTTGCTGATTGCATGCTCTTCTTACCTGGTGCGCGACTACCCACGTCACGCCCTCCGTGCAGGGCGGCGTCGTGAAGGAGCCCATGTACTTGTAGTAGGCCGTGCTCCGGCTCACCGGCCGCCGAGGGTCCACCACCTCGTCGATGAGCTCCTCGCGGTCCTTCCTCCTCGCGATCCTCCGGATGTACCGCTCCAGCTGCACACACATACGCATGCATGCATCTCGAACAACCATCAGACGAGATCATCATGTACAAATTTGGAGGAGTATTTATATGAACAACAGAAGAGAGATCCTCGCTAGCTCACCCTGTGGATGGTCCTGTCGCGACGCCGCCGCGAGATCCTGTAGAGCTGCGAGACCACGGCGTACCTGTTGGTCTCGCTCTGGTGCAGCATGTGCAGCTCCAGGGCGTACCTGCGCCCGTTGATGGCGTGCTCGCTCGGCGCGTGCCAGTGCATCTGCCGGAGCCGGTACGCCACGCCGTCGATCACCACGCCGCCCGGGTTGCTGTTGAACCTCACCATGATGTCGTGGCCGCGGTTGACGAGGGACGCGGCGGCGGGGCGGTAGGAGCGGCCCAGTCGTCCGGGCCGGTCGGCGAGCCCCGCGACGGTGTCGGAGAGGCCCATGGGTGACTGCTGGAGACCCACGGAGCAGGCCGCCCACTCCCTCCGGATCAAGCCCCACCGCGCCGGCCCGTTCCCGGCGTCCCGCCGGTAGCTGAAGTCCTCCTCCGCCTCGTCTTCATCCACCGATCCCAGCCAGCCATTGCAATGCGTCAATCTCAAAACCATGCACAGACGACAGCAGCACGGGGAGCGTGTCACAAGAACGAACGATCTGGTGCACGCACGCACGCGTGCATGACACAACGACCCGCTACCGGTAACCATGCTCATGCATTTAAATAAAGCCGACTGACTCGATCGGTCACTCGACCGGAAACGCCTACCGAGCTCCTGCGCCGCCGCGCGGTGGACCGTCGCCGCGCCGAAGTGGCGGAGGAGCAGCTGCAGCGAGAGGGAGACGACGACGAAGGCGGCGGCGGCGGCCAATCTGCTGCTGCTCGGAGCCGCCGCGTACATGGCGGCCGTCGCTCTTAGTGTTCTGCTGTGTGCTGCTTGAGCCGCGTAGTTCGACGAGAATCTGTGTATGCTCAGGCATTTCTGGGGGCTAAAGTAGCCGTGTCCGCGAGCACGCGCGCCGGGGCGGGAGAAAGCGCGTGATGAGCGCCGGCCGGCAAAGGCGGCCCGTCACGCGTTGCATGCAGGAGCGAAAGGATCTGGGCGTGGGCGATGTATTGTATTGAGTGCCAATTTTATTTTCGAACGGGCCAAACTCTTAAATTTTTCTAACAAAGAAATGCCATTTGTTTTGCTTTTCGAAATGAAGAGTACTCTATATTTTGGTCGGGCCGCATCCGCGTGCACGGAACCACATGGCACATGCCTGATATATACCTGACGACGAGCAGAGGAACACACCCTTAGCCCTGGTTTAGCCCTTGTTTAGTTTCAAAAAGTTTTTCTAAGACTTTCAAAAATTTCTTTTCTGCGGCCCATGCATGGAGCATTAAATGTAGATTTAAAAGAAAAACTAATTGCGCAGTTTGGTGGGAAATTGCACTTAACGTTTTAAGCATTAAAATGTTTGGACACTATTTGTCAAATAAAAAAAACAAACTAATTGCACAGTTTGGTGGGAAAATTACGAACTAAACCAGCCCTTAGTTTCACCCTAACTTTTTTGAGCCTAATTAGTCCATGTTTAAATACTATTTACTAAATAAAAACGAACATACTACAATAACCCCAAATCCAAATTCCTGCAACTAAACACAGCCTTAACTTAAATCGAATGAAAAGTAACAAAAACTTCTGGAAGAAGCCTCGTATTGGAATCTGGTCGGTCATCGACGATCGAAGAAAGACATGAAAATTTCAAACACAACACTTAGGCCTGGTTTAGATTGCAAGTTTTTTCACTCTTTCTTCATCACATCAAATCTTTGGACACATGTATGGAATATTAAATATAGATAAAAAAAAAACTAATTACACAGTTTGATTGTAAATTATGAGACGAATCTTTTGAGCCTAGTTAGGTCATGATTGGACAATAATTGTCAAATACAAACGAAAGTACTACAGTGTCAAATACTGATTTCTAACCCCAATCTAAACAAGGCCTTATATAAAAGTCAAAAAAACAAAATCTCAATATCTACTTTTCTAGATACAAAATTTTTATGTACTTATATATACACTATATGTTGATACTCCCTCCGTCCATAAAAGAATGTAATTATCACTTTTTCGAGAAATCAAATATTTTTTTAACTTTGACTAAATTTATATAAAAAATACAAACATTTATTATACAAAGTAAGTACTATTAGATTAGTTATATAATAAATTTTTATAATAAATTTATTTGGAGACATAAATACTAATAATATTTGATATAAATTTAGTCAAACTTGAGCTTCCTTGACCGGCACGTATCCATAATTGCATTCTTTTGCAGACGGAGATAATATGTAGTTTAAAATGAAGAGACTATTTATTTATTTATCATACTGGCATGATGGGTAAGTAGATGCAAATTTAGGAGGAAACTTTATATTATGTTTTGAAATAGAATAGGTGAGTAGTTTAGATATAAATTTAGAGATTTCCTTTAGGTCCTGTTTGGATCCTTGGAATTAAATTCATTTGAATAATCATAATTTAGCTATATATTAATTAAGTTAATATGATTGTATATGGATTATATTTGTATATCATTGTTGGCTATACGAGAGAGACTTATGTGTTGCATTTCTACCGTAGAGGAGCAAGTTAAAGAGCGTGTTATAAGTTGCAAAATAAAAGCATATATAGAATGATGATCTATAGAATCAGTTTCCATCTCCCACCCCATGCATTTGAGATAGGCTTATATGTGAACTTTGAAAAGTGTTGAAATATCAAATTCCAAGCCAAATAGCGTAATTTGTTAAGTAGATTTCAATTTCTCAATATGAAAGGATCCAAATGACCTCTTAAATTGTTTTTCGTAATAGTACATGTGGGTAATGTTTAAAAACATATTAGATTGAATGGCTATTATTATCAATGGTCATTAGAATATAGTGAAATGATGACTATATCTTTCTAATTCTTATGAGAATTTATATGACTTGTCTCTTTTCTTTTAACATGTATCGGAGGCTCTGATTAGAATTTTCATTTAGTAACACCAAATGATGATATGCTTCTCATTGGGCACTTTCTAGCTAGCTCAGACTTTAAAACACTTCATATATTTATTTTTAAGTATGATCGGATCGGATGAACATGCACATACTAGACTCATGTGCACGCACCTTTTTTTTAATCCTCGTGTCTACACACCTTTGTTTTTAGAATGGCTCATGTTTTGATCGTCTCTTTTTTTCTCTTAAATTATAAGGGAACTGCTAGCGTCCGGACATTCGATCCGGATGATAGCGTCTGGATGCTCGCGCTCGTGCGCCTGCGCCTGCTTCACGTGGGGCCCAGATCGGGCCGTTTTCGGCGCATGCGCGCCCACGCGGGGCCACGTCTCGATCTTCGCCCGCTCTCGTTTCCTGCGTCTGCCACACGCGCCCCTCCACTCCCACACGTATGCACATGGGCCCAGCAGCTGCAAAGCAGGTGGCTGTGGTAGGTGGGTCCCACTACAACATTCAAACATCAGATTTACTTTTGCAACATCCAGATTAAACCTTTGCAACATACGTCTAAAACAGATAAAACATTTAGGACATACAGTTGAAACACCGTTGCAATATCCTGATATACTTTTGAAACATCCATATGCAACACTTGCAATATACAAAAGAAGATAGATGAAACACTTGAGGCATGCGTCTGAAACACTTGCAACATACATATACAAAAAACAGATGAAACATTGGGGATAAAACTCTTGCAACATATGTGTACAACTATTGCAACATCCCGATCTACTTTTGTAACATCCGCATGAAACAATTGAAACATACATCTGAAACACTTGAAACATAAGGTTGTAACATGTCCAAAAAACATCCAAAAACACTTGAAACACAGCATCTCCGCGTGGCCATGTCCTACCCGGTGGTGAACTGCGGTGGTGCAGGCCTCCCCTTCCTGTCGACGACGTGAGGTGGATAGGGGCGCAGGCGCATGCCTCCCCTGCTTACCCTTCCACGGCAGGCGAGGTAGATCGGCGCGACGCGCGCTGGATGGTGGTGCCCCTAATCTCGTGCTGGCGCGATTTATAGCTGCTTCAGTTGAGAAGGCTGTGGAGGGTCCGGCGCGAGCTGGCACTGCTTCGGTGAAGAAGGCGACCGGCGAGCTGGAAAGGGCGCGGCGGGCCGGAGGCGTGGTGGAGAGGGGGAAGGCGGGCAGCGGGAAGGCACGATGGAGAGGGATCAAGGCGGGCGGCCGCGCTCGAGCACGGTGGAGATGCTAGGGCGGCACGACAGAGCGCGGTTGCAGCGGAGCTCGTCCGCTCAAGCTGTGGTGATTTTTTTTGGAGAATGTAGACAACAGACTACGGTTAGGGACTTGTGGACGAGAGGCTACGACTATTGGGTCATTGGGTTGGTGTTGCTGCCCGTGAATGGGAGCGTCCGGAGGACAGGACGTCCTCACCGTAGCATTTCCCTAATTATATGCTCGGCTAATTTCGTTCTCTCTCTCTCTTTTCACATTGGGCCAACCACTCACTATGCTATTGAGCCCAGTCCATCAAGTGGCCTCTTAGGCCCAGGAAGAATGCCGTTCATCTCTCCACGTAGTCCGGCCACTCCGCGTCCTCGAAGCGAGATGCGTCGCCGCCGGCGGCGGTTCGGAGCCGCGATCCGACGGCGGATTTGGCATCATTCCGGAGAGGCGCTGCACACGGAAGATCGAGGAAGTATCTCCAGCGGCGACGCCTTCGGTACGGACCAAACTTTTCACCCAGTCCTCGAGTATTTTCAACCATGTCGCGCTCTTCGAGCAGTTGTTAGATGCTTTTGGCATTTCATTCTGACGAAACTGATCAATCCAAAAAAAAACCCTCTAGTTCCAACCTCAAACAACAAAGAATCACGTTTTTGTTTTCCACACCTGTGTCAAGACGAATAGTAGGATATTCAGTTCTGCTTCGTGTCTGAATTCTGTACTCAGTAGCATTTTAACCTCTAGCTGTTTTCAGGCATAATCTGAAACAGTCATGCTTTTTTGCGAAATGATATCATGCATGCTCAAACTTGTTATCTTAGTCTGTCGGATCCTGTGACAAAACTGTTCTGTCGTGCTCTGTCGCATTGTGCATGACCCTTCTCTGAAACTGGTACGATTCCATGACGAGCCTGTAGCTAAAACGAGCTGTGGCCTCTTGGGGGAGTGAATGGCGGTTGTAAAATATTGAATGTTCAGTGCGCGATTCCTTTCACTCGCATTGGTTGCGCACAGTTTTTGGTTTCTTCCAACTGCAGTCAAAAGTGGCCTAGAGAGTCTTGAACCAAGTACTTCGGGAATATGGTCCAGCCGACCACGCATGGGTGAATTTACTTTGGTTGTTTCTTGAATGTCATCTAAGGATTTATATTGATCTCCAGTTACAAAAGTTAAGTTAGAGAGCATGGCATCTATACCAGTGGGCTGTGGCTTCTGTAGATTACTCTGTTTTGTATCCGTGTAGTCAAAGGGGACCATGAACTTATTAGGGTCAAAACAATCTTGCTTTATTTTCCTTTCACCTTTTCTTTTTATGATAAAGTTTGCTTGTATCCTAGCTTTTGTTCCTTTGAGAAAGTGATAGCGGTTGGGACATGAACCTGATCAAAATAGACTTGACATGTGGGCATGGAAATCCCATGCTGCTATCCTTTTGTTTCTTTCTTAGGCACGCTGTTCAGGAACAAAAATGTTTTATGATGCTCTAGTCATAAATTCAACAAATTCAAAGTGATAATCGCAAGATAATGGTATCAAGGTAAGCTTTGCAGATGTTGAGCAGAGGAATTTACTCTTGGATCATATACATAGCATGTACGTGAGGCCTTGAAGAATCAAACAAATTAAGTCTA